GATATTGTTGGGATCTCGTTACTGGGGTTAGTGTAAGGAGGGGTTTGAGGATACCTTGACTTTGATGAGAGGAGAGGTCCATTCCGCATCTGACTAGGCTCTTGGGGCATATGGGTATCAATGTCTCACTATGGTCCACACTGAATTCCACAGCTCGAACTGCTTCCATCCAGAGAGAATCTACTCTCACTTGGTTGTCGATTGGTGTTGTTTCCTTCGCTATTGGGGCTTCGTGGTTCTTTTTCCTTATATGTATGTTCGTTCATCTCTTGTTCCTTTTTCTCCACCTTTCTCATCCTCCATGCGTACCTTCATCTTTTTCAAATACTATATCGTCCCAATTATGTGCTAAATGTTGACATTAAACTTGAGAAATAAAAAAAGTTGCGACACATAAGTTAAATATATGCAAACCATCAAGTTTGCTTTTAATTACTAACAACAACTATATCAGAGGTGGTATAGAAATGTTTAGATGTCATTTCATATTTCTCACTTCTAATAAAAATAAAAAATTTTATATTAAATGAGTCTCAATAAATTAAATCACGTCGCTAAAAATAATAAAACTAAATAGTTTTTGAATACCAAAGGGCAGTCTTTCAAAACAAACTAAAAGAGATATATTCTCATGATCATATAAATTGAGACATATATTAATCTATTTATGGACCATCAAAGTGTTTTCGTAATTTACTTCCTTTTTTTCTCTCTTTATTACCATTTACAATGTCAAGTCCACATATTATTTTATTTATTTTTCAAGTGATTGGACTCATGAATGCTAGAGAAGACAATATAAAGAAGTTGCTTTTGATGGAATGAAACTCTACATTTAAGCGGGTATACGATGAAACTAAATTACGACACAAATTGTATTCTTACTCCTGCAATCAGGGTGACCCTTCTATTAAGCAAGTAAAGCAACTGCCTTAGGCTCCATATTTGTGGAGGCCCTATTTTTTGTTACGCCTAATAGGTTATATATAAGTTTTCAAAAAAGGTTATGTGAAGTGAAAAGTTCGATTTCTTTCTTTAACAAGTATAGAGAAGAAGAATTTGCAACTGCTATAATTTCTGCCAAGAAAATTGCACTTGAAATGAATATCGAATCCGAATTTCGTAAGAAACGTGTGATATATAAGAAGTAACAGTGAAGACAACTAGATACCCCGTGTTAGTTAACGAGCTCCATCATTCCATGCATTATATATATAAGTGTTTAGCCGTCTATACGAGGAATTATGGGAGAAAGGCGGGAAAGGAAGTTGTTTCGGCTGGCTAAAGCGAGGGAGAGGAAGGCCCGGGATCTGGACCAATTAAGGTGAATCAAAGATGAGGATGGTAGAGTATTGATGGGAGAGTCCCAGATTAAGCAAAGATGACAAACGTACTTTTACTGTCTTTTGAATGAGGAGGGGGCCCGGGATATAGCGCTAGGGGACTTGGGGCATTTGAAGAGTCCCCGAGATTTTAGGTATTGTAGGCACATTAAGGTAGATGAGGTCATGGGGGTGTTGCATAATATGAGTAGGGGTAGAGCGACCGGGACAGATGAAATTCCGGTTGAGTTTTGGAAGTGTGTGGGTAGAGCAGGATTGGAATGGCTGACTGGATTGTTCAATGTAATTTTTAGGACAAAGAGCATGCCGAAGGAATGGAGGTCGAGTACAGTGGTATCGTTGTACAAGAACAAAGGTGATATCCAGTATTGTAACAATTATAGGGGTATCAAGTTACTTAGCCATACCATGAAAGTCTGGGAGAGGGTGGTGGAGGTGAGGGTGAGGAAGACGACGTCTATATCTGATAATCAGTTTGGGTTCATGCCGGTCCGCTCCACTACGGAAGTTGTCCACCTTATTAGGAGGTTGGTGGAATAGTACATGGATAAGAAGAAGGATCTACACATGGTGTTTATTGACTTGGAGAAAGTGTATGATAAGGTTCCTAGGGAGGTGCTCTGGAGATGTCTTGAGGCGAAGGGCGTGTCGGTAGCCCATATACGATAGAGCTAAGACTAAGGTTAGGACGGTGGGAGATGACTTGGAGCATTTTCTGGTTGTTATGGGATTACACCAAGGCTCAGCGCTTAGCCCGTTCTTATTTGCCTTGGTGATGGATACTTTGACACACCATATTCAAGGGGAGGTGCCATGGTGTATGTTATTTGCTGACGACATAATTCTAATTGACGAGACGAGGGCCAGTGTTAATGAGAGATTGGAGGTTTGGAGATAGATTCTCGTGTCTAAGGGTTTCAAATTGAGCAAGTCTAAGACAGAGTACCTGGAATGCAAGCTTAGCGCGGAGTCGAGGGATGTAGGCGGGGACGTGAGGCTTGGGCCACAGGTCATCCCCAAGAGAGATAGCTTCAAGTACCTTGGGTCGATGATTCAGGGGGACGGATAGATCGACAAGGACGTCACTCACCGCATAGGGGTGGGCTGGATGAAATGGAGGCTTACATCTGGAGTCTTGTGTGACAAGAAAGTGCCACCGATACTCAAAGGTAAGTATTATAGAGCTGTAGTTAGACCGGCCATGTTGTATGGGGCAGAGTGTTGGCCGGTTAAGAACTCCCATATATATAGGATAAAAGTAGCAGAGATACGGATGCTGAGGTGGATGTGCGGGCATACTAGGATAGACAAGATTAGGAATGAAGATATCCAGAAGAAGGTGGGAGTCGCCCCTGTGGATGACAAGATGCGGGAAGCGAGGCTTAGATGGTTCGGGCACGTACAGAGGAGAAGCCTCGATGCACCGGTGAGGAGGTGTGAGCGGTTGGCCGTGGTGGGTACGAGAAGAGGTAGAGGGAGACCTAAGAAGTATTGGGGAGAGGTGATCAGGCAGGACATGGTACGACTGCACATTTCCGAGGACATGGCCCTTGATTGGAAGGCCTGGAGGTCAAGCATTAAGGTTGTAGGATAGGGGTAGTAAGCTTTCCTTTCTTCATTCCGGGGGTGAGGCGGGGTTGGATTAGGGTTGGTCTTAGATGGCTTGTAGTTTATGTTGGACCCACACTACTCTTGTTGTTTGTTTTAGCCCCGGGCCTTAGATTATGGTTACTGTTATTGCATGTCATTCATCTTTCGGTTTTTATGTCTATGTTTCTATTACGGTTTCTATTGGAGTTACTAATGAATTCTCTTCTCTTGTTTTTTTTTACTTTATTTTCGTCTTTCTGAGCCGAGAGTCTATTGAAAACAGCCTCACGGTCCTTATCGGGGCAGGGGAAAGGTCTGCGTACACATTACCCTCCCCAGACCCCACTATGTGGGATTTTACTAGATAGTTGTTGTTGTTGCATGTAGTCCTTTAAGAATTTCAAGCCGTGAAGACATACTATATTAGGGAACAAAAATTAAAGAAATATACTAAATTTCCAAATTAAGTTCATGTTCTAAGCTTCTTGTTCCTCCATCTAGGGGTGTTCATAAAAATTCGAAATCTNATATTTATCATAACACTCCCCCTTGGATGTCCAAAGATAATGTGCCTCGTTAAAACCTTATTAGAAAAAAACCCTATGGGAAAAAAAATTCTAGTGAAGGAAAAAGAGTACACATGATTAGAAATACGCCCTTTTATTGCCTCGTTAAAAGCCTTGCAAGGAAAACACAGTGGGACAAAACCTTGTAAGGAAAAAAGAGTACAACGCATATTAACTCCCCCTGATGAGAGCATCAACTCACATCCTTGAGTCTTCGCATCCCAATTTTGTACACCAGTTTCTTGAAGGTTGATATTGGTAGAGATTTGGTGAACCAATCAGCCATATTATCACTTGAACGAATTTGTTGCACATTGATATCACCATTCTTTTGAAGATCATGTGTAAAAAATAACTTTGGGGAAATGTGCTTTGTCCTATCTCCTTTTATGAATCCTCCCTTCAATTGGGCTATGCATGATGCATTGTCTTCATACAAAATTGTGGGTAGTTTTTCACACTTCAAACCATATTTGTCTCGGATAAGATGTATTATAGACCTCAACAAATACATTCTCGACTTGCTTCATGAATAGCAATTATCTCAGCATGATTAGAAGAAGTAGCCACGATTGATTGCTTAGTCAATCGCCAAGATATGGCAGTGCCGCCACATGTAAACACATAACCTGTTTGAGATCGAGCCTTATGCGGATCAGATAAATACCCAGCATCGGCATAACCAGTGACGACCAATAATCAGCAATCACCTGGTAATGCAGTGGAAAAAGGAGATTCTGAGGATGTGGTTCATAATCAGCAAATCCAAACAACTAATATGTTTGCAGCATTAGACGATCAGGATGGTGAAGAGCAAGACAAAAAGCAGATGGACGAGGTGGATAACAGTGTTGTAAAAAGCCCTACAGGTGTTACAGTTAAGCGACTTAATCCTAAGGCAGCTACTTTCTCTCCTATAACTGGAGATGGAAGTACTTTAAAGAGAAGGAAAGATACTAGTGCAAAACAGAAAGAAAAAGGAAAGGAGGGTTTTCAAAAAGACTCAACAGCAACCGGGGTGAATAGAACCTTTGGGGAAAACATGGTTACAGTTAACCAATCATGCCATGATGTGCAATCACAACAAGTTCAGTTTGATGCAACAGATGAGGTGACCAAAAATGATACAAGAGTACAAATCAATGGAGAAAAGCTTTGGAGGGAACAACCTGAAGAAGACTCAGATGAGGGTGAATTACCTGAGGGTGCAATGGGTGAAAAAGAGCCGTCAGATGACGAGGAAGATGAGGCAGAACAAAGTGTTAATGGCAAGCCAAACAAAATGCAAGAGAAGACAGGGGGTAATGAAGGCAAAGATATTGAACTTACAAATGATGGAGCTGATGGAGATATTAAGTTGACAGAATTTAGAGGCATACACAAAATTCCAACTAATAATCCATATGGAGCATTGCCTCCAGCTGAGCCTAATATAAATAAAGGGGACATAATTAGAAAAGGTGATGAAGTTGCTACTGGGTAAACAGTTAAGGATACAGGTATGCAGAATGTAAAGCTGCAGAGTAACAAAGCTGCTAATAAAGAGAAACAAGTTCATGTAGAGAAGGCTGAAATGAATTCTAATCTTTCTTTTCTTGTAAAAAAGCAAAACCAGGAAGGGCAGAATGAGATTTTGACTCTTGCGGCCACGAAAATAATAATTGCTGACCCAATGGAGAAAAGGGGAGATAATGATAATATGGAGATCAGAGGAAAAGACTTAGATACAGAGTCTACATATCAGAATTTTCAACAGGTTACCAGACAAGCAGATATTTCACCCACATACATGAATAGAGGGAAATCTGTTGGGAGAGGAAAGAAGAAGCAGCAAAAAGACAGCACTCAAAGCGTTCAAAGTGTAGTTCCTGGGGTTCAAACAAGAAGGACCCATCCTAAACATCACAATTAATGATGAATGTCATCTTTTGGAATGTGAGGTCTGTGAAGACAATGCAGGCCTTTGAGAGACTAATTACCATGCAAAGGCAGTATCATTTTAAATTCATAGGCATTATGGAACCAAAACAAAAGAAGCTGAAGCTGGAAAGATATAGAAGAAGAATTGGTTTGTTACAGGCATTTTCAAATGTGTCTAACAAAATTTGGGTATTTGTGGATGATGATCATGGGGTGGACATAATACTTGATTTGGCTCAATAGTTGACTTTGAAACTCACAAATCTGGTTACTCAGCTGTCTTTCATGGTTACATTTGTGTATGCAAAATGTGACTCTATTGAGCGTATAGAATTGTGGGACAGTTTATACAATCTGGCAAGTGATATGACCTTACCTTGGCTAGTGGGTGGGGACTTTAATGTCATATGGGATGAGGAGGAGAAGTTTGGTGGACTCCCTGTGTCGCTAAATGAGATAAATGATTTTAGGCATTGCATAAACACCTGTAACTTGACTGATTTGGGTTTCAAAGGTAGTGTGTATACATGGTGGAATGGGAGAGGTGAAGATGATTGCATATTCAAAAGATTGGACAGATGTTTAGGCAATTTGGATTTACAACAGAAATGGCCTAATATAGAAGTGACTCACTTGTCCAAAACAGGCTCGGATCATAGTCCAATGATTCTGAAATTTTATCCTGATGTGGCACCTATCAAAAAAGCTTTCAAATTTTTGAACTTCTGGTGCAAGCATATAACTTTCAAGGAGGTGGTTATACAAAATTGGACAGCAGACTTCATAGGTGATCCATTTTATATGTTCAATCATAAACTGAAAAAACTGAAAAAAGCACTATCGATATAGAGTAGGGCAACGTATGGAGACATATTCCAAAAAATTACTAGTCTGGAAGAGGTGGTTATTGTACATGAAGCACAGTTTGAAAGGTTTCCTACATACCAAAATAGAGAGAGGTTACAAAAGGTGCAAGCAAAACTTATTCGATATCTAGCATTGGAGGAAGAATTTTGGAAACAAAAGTCGGGAATGACATGGTTCCAGGATGGTGACAGAAATACGAAGTTCTTTCATGCTCAGGTCAATGGCAGGAGAAGAAGATTACAGCTGAAACAAATACAAGATACTAATGGCAATTGGTTAGAGGGTAATAATGACATGGCAGATGAGGCAGTTAGGTTCTTCAAAGAACAGCTCCAGGAAGAAACAACTACTATGTCCTTTGATATTCTTGAACATGTACCAACACTGGTGGATTATGCCCAGAATGTTGAGCTAATTAAGCAGCCAACGAAGGAAGAGGTCAGACATGCAGTTTTTGGACTAAATGGTGATAGTGCAGGGGGTCCGGATGGCTTTACTGGTTGCTTCTTTCATACCTGTTGGGACATAATTGTGGAAGATATGGTCAATATGGTACATGCCTTTTTCAATGGACATGAGTTGCCCAGACATATAACTCATACAAATCTAGTGCTTCTACCAAAAAATAAAGAGGTGGTCACCTTTTCAGATATGTGATTTATTAGCCTTAGCAATTTTGTTAACAAGATATTTTCTAGAGTCGTTCATGAAAGGCTAGCAGTGTTACTTCCAAACATAGTTTCTAAGGAGCAGGCTGGCTTTGTAAAGGGTAGGAGCATTGTTGAAAATGTCTTATTAACCCAGGAGATCATCACAGATATAAGGTTGAGGACAAAAGCCGGGCCGAACGTTGTGATCAAGTTAGATATGGCCAAGGCATACGATCGTGTGTCATGGTTGTTTCTAACTAAGGTGTTTAGAAAGATGGGAATTGGGGAAAGATTTATTGGCTTGGTGTATGAAATTGTAGCAAACAACTGGTACTCTGTATTGTTAAATGGATAGCCTTATGGTTTCTTTAAGTCGACAAGAGGGGTGAAACAAGGGGATCCTATATCACCAACTCTATTTATCTTGGCTGCAGAAGCTCTGTCAAGAGGGCTGAATGCACTTCACAGAAATTTACATTTCAATGGCTTTGGCTTGCCCAAGTGGAGCCCAAAGATTAACCACCTTTCATACGCAGATGACATTATCATTTTTTCATCTTCTGACGCAACATCGTTGTCACTGATTATGAAGGTTTTAGCAGAATATGAGGCAGCTTCTGGGCAGCTTATTAACAAGAGTAAAAGTGCCATCTATCTTCATCATTCAGCAGGAGAGGAAATAGTAGATAAGGTGCAGAGAATAACAGGTTTTAACAAACAGGAGTTCCCTTTTACGTACCTTGGTTGTCCAATTTTCTATGCAAGAAGAAGAATGGAGTATTATCAAGATCTCATGACTAAAGTGCTGGATAAACTACAAGATTGGAAAGGTAAGATGTTATCTATAGGAGGAAGGGCTGTATTGATTTCTCATGTGCTTCAGACCATGCCAATTCATCTGTTGGCATCAGTGAATCCACCTCATTACGTGATTAACAAATTACACAAAATATTTGCCCAATTCTTCTGGAGCAACACTGTAGGGGTCTCAAACAGACATTGGGCATCGTGGAATAATTTATGCTTACCTTGTGAGGAAGGGGGTGTTGGTTTTAGATCCCTCCATGCAGTATCCACTGCTTTGTTCTGCAAGTTATGGTGGAATTTTAGAACAAAGCCTAGCCTATGGAGTTCTTATATGAGTCAGAAATATTGCAAGAAATTGAACCCTCTGATTGTTCCTTGGAGAGATGGTTCACATGTATGGAGGAAGATGTTAGAGTGTAGGGACCTCATTGAACATCAAATTTTGTGGAAGCCTAATATGGGATCTGCACTCTTTTGGTTTGAAAACTGGACAGGAATTGGTGCATTATATTTTGTTACTACACCTGACTTTGTATGTGACGAATCCATTCAGAACATATATGATGTTGTAGTCAATGATCAATGGGATTAGGTCAAGATCAGGAAAATATTACCAGAACAATTGGCAAATCACATTCTGCTGCATATAAAACCTCCAATCGAGCATGATGCTCTTGATAAATCACTGTGGATGTTAGAATCAACATGGGAATTTAGTGTTAAATCATCTTGGGATTATGTGAGGATAAGAAATCAGCCAAGTAATGCATACAGATTCATTTGGGTCTAGGGGCTACCTTTCAAAATTTCCTTCTTTATGTGGAAGTTGTGGAAAAATAAATTACCTTTGGACGATTTTCTCAGAAGAATAGGGTACCTTATGGCTTCAAAATGTTGGTGTTATACTGAACCACATGAGGAGACAATGCAACATCTTTTCTACAGGTCAGATGCAGCCACTAAAATATGGAAATATTTTCTAGGTCATGCAGGGATAAATGCTGATGGAATCACACTTCATCAGGCTATAACCAAGTGTTGGACTGCAGAAGTGATTCCCAGATTGAAGCCTATACTACAAGCACTACCAGCTGTGATTGTGTGGGAATTATGGAAGCGAAGGAATAGTTATAAACATGGGGAACCTGTGACTATTAATAGAGTTATTAACCAGATATCTACCTCTATGCAGTCATTAGTAAAATTCAGAAAGCCATCAATACAAACAGTCCCACACAGATGGCCAGAGTTGTTAAATAAAATGGAGTCTTATATGCCCAAACTGAAGTATACTAAGGTGATGTGGGAATGTCCTAGCCCAGGTTGAATCAAGGTGAATATAGATGGAGCGTCTAGGGGAAATCCTGGTAGAAGTGCAATTGGCTATGTATTAAGAAATGAGGAGGGTGACCTAATATATGGCTATGGGAGAGAAGTGCAGGAAGGGACAAATTCTGAAGCTGAAGCACAAGCAATCTTGGAAGCAATGAGGTTCTGTATTGATAATGACTACATACTTATAGAACTTCATACTGACTCCATGATGTTGAAGAATGTACTGCATGGAGAATGGAAAATACCTTGGTGTATATATACACAGGTAGAGAAGATAAGACAACTGATGGCAAAAGCTAATGTCACTGTGGTGCACACATTTAGAGAGGGGAATTGTTTGGCTAACCACTTAGCCAATTATGCACTGGATATGGGAACTATGGTGGCACATAGTTTCTGGGAATTGGATATACAAGGTAGAAGGATAGTTAATAACGATAAACTACAATGTCCTTACTTAAGAGTAAAAGTAGCAAGGAATTAGAAGGTGAGGAGGTTACAATGTGGAATTGCAGTGTGCTAAGTATATGTTTCCATCCAGATATGAAGCAAGATTTTAATATGATGGAATACTCAATTGTCAAAGAACTGAGACTGATGGAAATATTCAAGGAAGGAACAGCAACAGTGACCAGGCAGTATAATTTGATGCAGATGGGAATAAAGCTGAAGAAACAAGAGAGCATAGATACCAAAGCCGTGTGGAGGAGATCAAATTACACTAAAGTGTTTGCAGGTCCAACAACTTCCTATGAATTGAAAGGATCACAATGCCTTGAAGAAGAAATGGTGACTTACAACAGCATTGCAGCACTGATGGACAATAATGTCTATGCATGCGACAATCTGGAGTTGGCATCAAAACATTCATTTCTGGAGATCGCCACCAACAATGCAGGTCGAGCAGTCGAAATGATGGACAGGCGAAATACTGGACAGAGGGATGGACAGAGCTTATTTCTGGTTGAGCAAAATCTACAAGAATGTGCGTGACAAAGAAGAAACAGTGCTCAATGTAATTGCTATGCAAATGATCATTCTGCACAGAAGGATATCGAAAGGAAATATGTACTGGTGCATACACAAAGATCAATATGAAGTAGTAGCTGATAGATTTCATTGGAAGTATATTGGCAATTACACCACAGAGGTAGTACCAACAATACATAAATACATGGAGTATCATAAACTTTCTATTAATTTTCAGTTTGTGATATCTTTGTTGGGCTATAAACTCAACTTTGATAATAGGTCATATGTAATTCTTAAATATTATGCCTTTCATTTCAGTAAACATCCGGACAAAGTAATTGTATTGGTTTTGTTGTTTTACTTATATATATAAAAACAGCCCTAGGCGCTCAGTCTAGTGGATTTACCACAAAAAAAACAAGATCGGGATTGCAATCATTGCCATAAAATAAGCCCATATCAGTAGTCCCTTTTAGATATCGCAATATGTGTTTGATCCCATTCCAGTGTCTCCTTGTAGGAGCAGAGCTATACCTTGCTAAGACATTAACCAAAAAAGTTATGTCAGGCATTGTAGTGTTAGCAAGATACATTAGTGCACTAATTGCACTAAGATATGGTACTTCAGGACCAAGAAGCTCTTCATTCTTTTCTTGAGGTCGAAACGAGTCCTTATTCACATCAAGTGATCGGACAATCATCGGAGTACTTAATGGATGTGCTCCATCCATATAAAACCGTTTCAATACCTTTTTAATGTAGGCAGATTGATGAACAAAAATCCTATTTGTCAAATGTTCAATTTGCAAACCGAGACATAATTTTGTCTTTCCGAGATCTTTCATCTCGAATTCCTTTTTTAAATAATCAGTTGCCTTTTGGAGTTCTGTAGGAGTTCCAATAAGGTTTATGTCATCAACATATACGGCAAGTACAATAAATTCCGATGTTGTTTTCTTTATAAAAACACATGGACAAATGGCATAATTTATATAACCCTCCTTTAATAAATACTCACTAAGACGGTTATACCGCATTCTTCCTGATTGCTTTAGACCATACAAAGATCTTTGCAATTTGATTGAAAATGTTTCCCGGGAATTTGAATTCTGTGCGTTAGGCATTTTAAATCCCTCGGGAATTTTCATGTATATCTCATTATCAAGTGAGCCGTAAAGGTAGGCTGTAACTACATCCATTAAATGCATGTCAAGCTTTTCATGGACAACAAAACTAATGAGATAACGGAATGTTATAGCATCCATAACAGGAGAATATGTCTCTTCATAATCGACACCAGGCCTTTGTGAAAATCCTTGTGCAACAAGGCGTGCCTTATATCTTTGTACCTCATTTTTCTCATTCCTTTTGCGTACAAAGACCCATTTGTAGCCAACAGGCTTAACACCATTAGGTGTTTGGACTACAGGCCCAAAAACTTCACGTTTTGCAAGTGAACTTAACTCTAATTGGATTGCTTCTTGCCATTTTGGCCAATCAAGTCTTTGTCGACATTCTCCAACAGATTGAGGTTCAAGATCCTCACTTTCTTGCATAATGCTAGATGCAACATTATATGCAAAGATGTAATCTGCCACTATATCCATTCGATTCAAATTTGTCTCAATATCGATTGGATTTATTGATAGTTCCTTATTTTCTTGAGTCTCAGGCTCATTGATTTCCTCATGAATCTCAGGATTGGTTAAATCGTGAATTTCTTTATGAGACTCTTTCGTAGTGTCATCTTGATCATTTGTTTTCCTTTTTCTAGGATTTCGATCCTTAGAACCTAATGGTCTGCCACGTTTTAGGCGTGCTTTTGACTCATTAGCTATGACACTAGAAGATTGTCCAATAGGGACATCAATACGGATTGGAACATTCTCTGCAGGGATATGTGATTTTGTTATCCTTTTCAAATCCGTAAATGCATCTGGCATTTGATTTGCTATTTTCTGCAAATGGATAATCTTTTGCACCTCTGTGTCACAAATAGATGCACGTGGATCAAGATGAGACAATGATGTATTTTTCCACAAAATTTCACGTTTTGTTTCACTAATTTCTCCCCCTAATTTTGGGAAAAATGCCTCATCGAATCGACAATCTGCACAACGAGTAGTGAACAAATCTCCTGTTAATGTTTCAAGGTAACGATAATGGAGGGTGATTCAAACCCAACATATATTCCTAACCTTCTTTGGGGACCCATCTTGGTGCGATATGGGGGTGCTAAAGGCACATATACAGCGTATCCAAAAATTCTTAGATGAGATATATTAGGTTCATGACCCAAAACTAATTGCAACGGGGAATATTTGTGATAATTTGTCGGTCTGAGACGAATTAGCATTGCTGCATGTAAAATGGCGTGACCCCAAACAGAAGTGGGCAACTTCGTTTTCATGAGTAACGGTCTTGCTATCAATTGCACACGTTTAATTAAAGACTCTGCAAGGCCATTTTGAGTGTGAACATGAGCTACAAGATGTTCCACTTATATTNGAACATGAGCTACAGGATGTTCCACTTTTATCCCAATTGATAAGCAATAATCATTAAATGCTTGGGATGAAAACTCAGCAGCATTATCAAGTCTAATAGACTTAATTGGATTATCGGAAAATTGTGCCCGTAATCGGATTATTTGTGCCATTAATTTTGCAAACGCGAGGTTGCGAGATGACAATAGGCATACATGAGACCATCTAGAGGATGCATCTATTAAGACCATAAAATATCTAAACGACCCACTAGGTGGGTGAATAGGTCCACAAATGTCCCCTTGTATACGTTCTAAAAACGCAGGGGACTCAATCCCAACCTTTGTTGGTGATGGTCTTATAATTAACTTGCCTTGATAACAAGAAGTGCAAGAAAATTCATTATTTAAAAAAAAATTCAAATTATTTAATGGATGCCCATTTGAGTTTTCTATGATTCGTCTCATCATAATTGATCCAGGATGACCCAATCGATCATGCCAAAGTACAAAAGTATTGTAAGCAGTAACATTTTGGTTTAAGGTAGAATGTGCCTCAATTGCACTAATGTTTGTCCAATACATGCCACAAGATAAAGATGGGAACTTCTCAATAATTCTTTTCTGGCCAGAGACATTCTTGGTAACGGTGAGATATTCCATATATTCTCATATATTGTCTCAATATGAAATCCATTTTTGCGGATATCTTTANCAATACAGGCCACAAGATAAAGATGGGAACTTCTCAATAATTCTTTTCTGGCCAGAGACATTCTTGGTAACGATGAGATATTCCA